CTTTAAGTTTTTTAAGTACATAAATTATTTTTGAACAATATTCATCTGCTATGAAGACATGATTCGTTATTTTATATTTCTTCCCTACTCACTCCTCAAACCTCATTGGTGATAATGCTTTGTAGACTTCGTACAAGTTTATAACATATATGACCTATAATGCAATCAAATTTTCACATTGAGCCTTAGACAGTGTTTAGCTGGATTCATCATTTGCCATTGTCCGTTTTACCACAACTTTTCTATTTCTAAATTCTCTAAGTGATTCATCTCATGGTTGACTGGTTTTCTCTGTTAGAATTTTTTTTTCAAACTTCGTCATGGATGCTCTATTTCACTAATATTTCATATCTGACAACATCTTCTGTGGGCTTTTTATTTCCCGATAAATTGTCTTGGTATAACATTTTAGCAAATCATTTTATTTTCCTTAAACCGAAAACCAATTGCTGTTGAGTCGATTCCGACTCATGACAATCCCATGTGTGTCAGAGTAGAACTGTGCTCCATAGGGTTTTCAGTGGCTGTAATTGAGTCCTCAAAAGGCCATTCCACTGTTCCATCAAGCCAGCTGCTTCAGGACAATGAGGAGCATGGTGAAAAAAAGAAAGAAACCAAACCCGTTGCTGTTGCGTCGATTCAGAAACACAGCAACCCTACAGGACAGAGTAGAAGTGCCCCATAGGGTTTCCAAGGCTGCAATCTTTACAGAAGCAGACTGCCACATCTCTCTCCCCTGGAGCCGCCGGTGGGTTCCAGCTGCCAATCTTTCCGTTAGCAGCTGACCACTTATCTACTGTGCCACCAGAGTGCCTCTTTGGTTTTAGGAACTTGGTGTTGTCGTTGTTCTTCGATGTTCTTCGACTCGATGGCACCTAACTCATAGTGACCCTATGTACAACATAATGAAACACTACCCGGTCCTGTGCCATCCTCACAATCGTTGCTATGTTTGAGCCCATTGTTGCAACCACTATGTCAATCCATCTTGTTTAGTCTTCCTATTTTTCGATGACCCTCTACCTTATCAAGTATGATGTCCTTCTCCAGGGACTGGTGCCTCCTGATAACATGATCAAAGTACGTGAAATGAAGCCTCACCATCCTCGCTTCCAAGGAGCATCCTGGCTGTACTACTTCTAAGACAGATTTGTTTGTTCTTCTGGCAGTCCATGGTATATTCAATGTTCTTCGCCAACACCATAATTCAAAGGCATCAATTCTTCTTTGGTCTTCATTATTCATTGCCCAGCTTTCACATGCATATGAGGCCATTGAAAATATCATGGTTTGGGTCAGGTACACCTTAGTCCTCAAAATGATATCTTTGCTTTTTAACACTTTAAAGAGTTTTTTTTGCAGCAGATTTGCCTAAAGCAATATTTCATTTGATTTCTTGACTGCTGCTTCCATGGGCATTGATTGTGGATCATAGTAAAATGAAATCCTTGACAACTACAATCTTTCCTCCACTTATCATGATGGTGCTTATTGGTCCAATTGTGAGGGTCTTTGTTTTCTTCTCGCTAAGGTGTAATCCATACTGAAGGCTGTAGTCTTTGATTTTCGTCAGTAAGTGCTTCAAGTCCTCTTCACGTTCAGCAAGCATGGTTGTGTTATCTGCGTATCGCAGGTTGTTACCAAGTCTTCCACAAATCATGATGTCACGTTATTCTTCATATAGTCCAGCTTCTAGGATTATTTGCTCAGCATACAGACTGAATAGGTATGGTGAAAGGATACAACCCTGACACACACCTTTCCGGACTTTAAACCACGTAGTATCCCCTTGTTCTGTTCGAATGACTGACTCTTGGTCTATAAGTACAGGTTCCACATAAGCACAGTTAAGTGTTCTGGAATTCCCATTCTTCACAACGTTATCCATAATTTGTTATGATCCACAGAGTCGAACGTCTTTGCATAGTCAATAAAACACAGGTAAACATCTTCTGGTGCTCTCTGCTTTCAGCCAAGATCCATCTGACATCAGCAATCATATCCCTCGTTCCACATCCTCTTCTGAATCTGGCTTGAATTTCTGGCAGTTCCCTGTCAATGTACTGCTGCAACCGTTTTTGAATTATCTTCAGCAAAATTTTACTTGCGTGTGATACTAATGAAATTGTTCGATAATTTCTGCATTCTGTTGGATCACCTTTCTTTGGAATGGGCACGTATATGGATCTCTTGCAGTTGGTTGGCCAGGTAGCTGTCTTACAAATTTCTTGGCATAAACAGGTGAGCGCTTCCAGTGTTGCATCCATTTGTTGAAACATCTCAATTGGTATTCTGTCAATTCCTGGAGCCTTGTTTTTCGCGAGTACCTTCAGTGCAGCTTGGACTTCTTCCTTCAGTATCATTGGTTCTTGATCATGTGCTGCCTCCTGAAATAGTTGAACATCGACCAATTCTTTTTGGTACAGTGGCTCTGTGTATTTCTTCTATGTTCTTTTGACGCTTCCTACGTCATTCAATATTTTGCCCATAGAATCTTCCAAAATTCCAACTCGAGGTTTGAATTTTTTCTTCCGTTCTTTCAGCTTGAGAAATGCTGAGTGTGTTCTTCCCCTTTGGTTTTGAACATGGTAAGACCAGTGACTTCCATGAGCAGGGGCCCAGTGCCTCATTTCATTTGCTGTGAAGTGAGTTCCTTGATCCGAGGCAATGGTGGGTGGGATACCATGACAGTGGATAAGGCATTTTGTGAGTCCACAGATGGTAGTTTTGACAGAACCACTGGGAACCTTAGCCTAGCCAAACTGACACATAAAATAAACCATCACAGAAGATGAGGACAGAGAAGGAGCCAGTGACTGAATCTTGCAAGGGAGGTTATTGGTGTCCTGAGGACAGGAAGCCTCAGTGGGGTAGGTTAGCATGGCTGGAGGAAGAACAAGAGATGATGAAGTGGAGAGGGTATTTGAGACAACCCTTTCAAGACGTATGTAAGGATATATACTTATAACCTCAGAAGTGAGTAGGCACTGTTAGCCCCATTTTACAGGTAAGGAAACTGAGGCTTGGAGAAGGCTCTCGCCTTGTTCAAGTTCCCATAGGTAATAAGTGGTAATAACCCAGGTTGTTCTGATTCCATTAGGCCAAAGCGGAGATGGTGGTGGTGGGGAGGGGTCAGATGGTCAGAGGGAGGAGGGCCGCAACTTGAAGTTGGGATATAAAACGGGGTAGAGTGAGAGGGTGGAAGAGGGGAGGGGTGTCACCATGGCCAGGGATTGGGGAAAGGGGTAATCAGGCAGTTGGATTATTGGGGGTTCCAGTAAGGCTATGTAAGGTCCCTGGATGGCACAAATGGTTTGCACTTTACCACTAACCTAAAGGTTGGCAGTTCAAACCCACCCAGTGATCCCTTGGAAGAAAAGCTTAAGGATCTGCTTCTATAAAGATTACAGACAAGAAAACTCTATAGAGCAGTTTTCCCCTCTGACACATGGGGTCGCCATGAGTCAGAATTGACTGGTAGGCAACAGGATTTGGCTCTTGGTTTGAGGCTGTGTAGTCTCCCTCTTTCTCTAGGTAACTACTTCTTTCTCCCCAGCCACCCCAGCATGGTGGTGGTGGCCAGATTCTGGGGAGAGTGGAGACTGTCCTTGGTGGTAGGTGGGGTGTGGATCCTGCCATTGAAGACATGAATGTAGCCCCAACCACAGGGAGCTGCTCCCTCCCGCTAGCCTGGATGCCTCCTGCCCTATCAGGGCCTCCCCAGCCGTCCATGGTAATCGACAATCTTTTAACCGCAACCCGGGCACGCTGTGTAGGTCTTTCCTTTCTCCCTCAGCCTGACGCTTGGCGGACTTTTTCCTGGAGAGGGTGAGGTGAAGCGGCCTCTGAGCCTGACAGGGACGGCCACAACAGCTTGGAGTCTCGCTGAGCCCAGGGACTGAAAGAAAGACCCAGGCCCGCCTAGAGGTGGCTCCAGGCGCCCCCTCAGGCCGAGCTGTGCGCGGCAGGGGTGGAACGTGGAGAGCTCCCAGGCCAGGAGCGTCGCTGCCCGCGGGCTGGGCATCAGTTGGGAGGGGCTGGTAAGGCCCCGGAAAGATAGTTTCAGTGGACACCCCCGCCAGAAGGCCAGCCCGGCGCACAGTTGGGACACCCTCCTGGGCAATGACGGGGACGTGGGGCCTCAAAGGTGCCACGGTGGCTTCCAGTGGCGGGCGAACACGGCACCCAGAGTCGACCCCCAGGTAGTGGGCCGGGTCTAGGGAAACCCTCTTCAGAGAAGCCCAGTGCAGGGAGCGAACCTCGGCCTGGCCAGTGGACTAAATCCCGTGCCCCGCGCGGTCTCCCCAGCCCCGAGGGCGGGGCCAGGGCAGGGCCGAAGTTTTCCCGGCAGGTGCCGGGGGTGGTGCCCGGCCCTGTCTCTGGAGGCGGTTCTTGGAGGCCAGAGGCGGGTCAGAGAAGCGGATAGTACGGGCGACACCGTGGAGCCCGCGGGAGGCGACTGTGGCCACAGGTGCCGCGCAGCGCACGGTGTCCCAGCTCTGGGCATCAAAACCCCGGCGTTGGGAACGGAGGCTTCCAAGCTGCTCCAAACGCTGCACACTGAGGCCCCCGGGCCGGAGAGCGGAGCCCTGGAGTCGTCTGAAGAGTGGGGACACGAACTCCCCGAGGCAGATAGAGAAGAAGCCCCCGGGCCTGCCGCAGAGCAGAACGCCGACGTCCCCAGGCCTGGCGGCGAGGTCCCCGAGCCGGAGCCCTCTACAGAGCAGGGCGCCGATACTCCCGAGGAAGACAGCCAAGTCTGCGGGTCACCTGCAGGGCAGGACGCGGAGGGTCCCAGGTCGTCCGCAGCCGGGGGTTCTGAGAACCTCGGGCCGGGCAGCGAAGACCTCGGGCCGTCCCAAGCGCAGAGCGCGGAGGTCTCGGGACAGTGTCCCCCCCAGGATCCCAAGACTCCCTCTTCGGGGTCAGACCTGGAAACCACCCAGCCGCGTTTCCCACTGCGCCCCGAGGCCCGCCCACCGTACCCCGAGAAGCCGCTCATGGAGACGCCCATCGAGCGCGAAATCCGGCGCAGCTGCGAACGCGAGGCGAGCCTGCGCCGGAGCCGAGGCCTGAGTCCAGGCCGCGCGGGCAGCGAACTTGTCGAGCTGCGCGTGCGGCCGGTGCTCAGCCGGCCCGGGCCGGGCCCCGCGCTCCCGCGCGCCTTAGAACGCGCGCGAGCGGGCGCGCAGATGCAGCGAGAAATCGAGCGGGAGGCCCACCGCCAGGCGGCGCTAGCGCGCCCTGCCGCCCGTGAACCAAGTTCCCGGTCACCGCCACAGCCACTGGGCGAGCTCAAGCGATTCTTCGAGGCTGTCGGGGAGCGCGGCCCCTCGCCTGCGGGCGGCGCAGGCCCGCAGCGGCCGCCCAAACCTGGAGGCCTGCGGCGCTCGGCCGCGCAGGGCGGGTGCCCGGTGCTGGCCCGCGCCCCGCAGTTGGCCGAGCTGTCGCTGCTGGAGCAGGAGGTGTGCCAGGTGCGCGAGCGCGAGCGGGAGCTGCAGCGCCAGCGGCGTAGTGTCTACGGCACCGCCGAGTTCAAGGAGCCCGCGCCAAGCCTCACGGGTGAGACGCGGGTGCTGGGATGCCGGGGTCCCCTAGGGCCCAGCCGCGCGTCCCGACTACCCAACTCCAGTGGCCCCTCCTCTGTCCTTCCGATTCTCGAGGTTCAGAGACTCCTCTCAATTCTGTTTCCTGCCCACCCGTCTGAGCTGCCCACTCCTGGGTACTCCACCCCCCCCACCCCAAGTGGTCGACTCCAAGATCCACCTCCCTATGCCCAGGCAGGGATATTCGGGTGCCTTCCTCTTCGTCGTATTCTAGGGACCTCTGCCTCGCTTTTGTTATCCTGGGTCCTGTCTCTGAACTTTCGGGCTCCTGCCTCCCCACTCTGGTGTTCTCCTCTCTCCTCCCTCAGGTTTCTGGGTCCCTAGAGCTAGATGGAGGCCTCCACGTGGAGGAGGGGGGTGAACGCCTGTGTGTATTTAAGGGGCACGGCTGGCCTCCTCTGTCCTGGCTGCCACCAGCAGGTGAGAGGAGGGGCAGCCCCGGCTGAGCGCCCCCTTCCGCCGCAGCGAGTACGGGCAACGGAAAACTGGCGGTGATCTGGCCCCCCCGCAGGAAGGCTTCAGAGAACGGCCTGGAGTAGGTAGGAGCCCCTTACCACCGTGCCCGAGTGCTTGTCGTTCCCCCTCCGTGCGCGCCAGAACGCTGGCTCAGGGAAGCTGCATGTCCTCTCCCGCTGAGCCGCCACTCTGGGCCAGAACACAATGGCCAGGGCGCGGCCACGGGCTGAAGAGGAGGCAGTGGGCCAGAGGCCCAAACCGCCCCACCCCGCACTGGGCGTCCCCACCGCGGTGCGCGGGTCCCTGAGGCCGGCCTTCCGTCTGGCCCCCTTTCCCCAGGAGGAGCGCAAGCCTTGAGGTTTGAGCAGGCTGGAACCTGCGGAGGAAGGAAGCTTCACGTCGGAGGACAGGGTCGGGGCCGCCCCAGGAGTGCCCCCGGATTGCTGGGAGGCCTGGAGAGGGTTCAACTGTCCGCACAGGGGACGGTGAAATCGACCATTTCATCCTTGAGCCTGGCTTTATGAAATTGATCAGTCCCTTCTGTAAAACTGTTTAGTCCCCTCCGGGAACCTGACCACTACCCCCATCCCTGTAAGTGAAACTGTCCAGCCCTTTTCCTTGTAACTCTGCAAACCCAGCCAGCCTCTCCCTCGGGCCTTGACAGTTAGAGGGCCAGGGTCACTGCCTCGGCTGCCCCTCCACACCCCAATAAAGCCCCTTCTTCCTGGGCAATACAGGCTGTTTGTTTCTGGGTCCTCGTGGCCTGGGGTGGGGCCGGAGTGCGGCGGGCGGAGGGAGGTCTGAGAAAGCCGCAGGAGGTGCGGTCCAGTTTGCGGATTGCACTCTTATCGCCCTGTTCCTCCGCCGCCCGCCTCCCAGGCTGGCCCGGCCCGGGTCCTGCTGCCCCCTGGCGGCGCGGGCGCGAACTGCGGCGTCCGGACCGACGCGCTCACGCCCTCCGTTTCCCAGCCGCGTTGTCAAAATTTATTGGTGCCAGCAGCTTGCCCCGCGCTGGGCGCTGGCTAGACGGAGATGAAAAGAGGCTGTTCCTGCCCTGGAGACGTAGACAGTAGCTGCCCCCCAAACAAGTGGGGGGCGCAAGCTCCTTGGCAAGGCATGTTGATACTCTGCCCAGCAGTTGAAAACTCAGATGTCTACCGGGGCGAGGCAGATACTAAGGAGAAGAAAATAGGCCCGTTGTGAAGCAATAGGGAGGGGTGGAGTCTGGGGTGTGCTGGAAAACAAATGAGTGAGCTCAGTGATGCCTGAGCTTCTGCTTTTCAAAAGCAACTGGCAACCCAGCTTTCAAAAGAGAAATCTACCGAACTTTAAATGATCGTGACTATTTAGAAAAACCTTTAAAAAAATTTTTTTGGGGGGTTGGCATCGGCACAAACACCACCAGTTTGCAGTGGGGCCCGTGGCTGGCTGTCAGTTTGCAAGCCGTGGTTGATTTCTCTGTCCTGGGACAAGGGTTTCAAGGCCCCCTGGATGGGGCTCGAGGGGATCTGTGAATGCCCTAAGTGGTTTATAAAACTATGTGTGGTCATATTCTGAGGAATGCAGCTATAGTTTAACAAACAGCTTGCTGGAGGTGCACTGAGACCCAGAAAAGTTTTAGAATCACTGCTTAAACTCCTGTTGTTATTAGCTGTCAGCCCCCTACTCATGGTGACCCCACGCACAACAGAATCAGAGCACTGTGATCTATCGGGTTTTTATTGGCTGATTTTCAGAAGCAGATCACCAGACCTTTCTTCCTAGTCCATATTAGTCTGGACGCTCCACTAACACCTGTTCAGCATCATAGCAACATGCAAGCCTCCACTGACAGACAAGCAGTGGCTGCACATGAGGTGCATTGGCTGGAAATTGAAACCAGGTCTCCTGCGTGGAAGGTGAGAATTCTACCACTGAGTCACCACTGCCCTCTATTTAAACTCCTGGATCTGTCCAACTCTGTATGCCCTGGGCCTAGCGATAGGCCTGACCCTGCAGAGGCACAGGAAATGGCTAATGAAGGATGAATGAATAAAACAGAATGGAAAAACTCACACAGCACTGTACCCAAGAGCAGCTCAGCCCAAGAAGGTCCTACCCCCTAACCCTGTCATCAGCACACTGACCACATGCTTGCCCATGACATTGTGATGTCTGAAGAGAAAGGCAGGAAGAGCCAGGGCTGCCAAGGGAAGAAACAGAAACACCCAGAACCTGTTCTTAATTCCCAGAAGGGGAGCTAAGAACTAAGCATGTGAAGAGCTGAACAAGAGAAACTTGAGGTGTAAACAGGACTTGTATAGCCTGGGAGTTCTCTAACTTTGTTGTTGTGTGCCCGTCTAGTTGATTCTGACTCATAGAGACCCTATATGATAGAGTAGAACTGCACCATAGGGTTTCCTAAGCTGTAATCTTTACGGGAGCAGATCGCCAGATCTTTTCTTCTGCAGAGCTGATGGTGGGTTCAAACACAGACCTTTCCGTTAGCAGCCGAGCGCTTAACCACTGCACCCCTAAGGCTCCTTTTCTCTAATTTTATTGCAAACTAAAATCACCTGAGCCCCAGAATTAAATCAGAATCTGAGGGTGGGGTCTCAGCATCAGTATTTTTTAAAGCTCCCCATGTGGTTCTGACTGGCAGCCAAGTTTGAGAACCATGTTGTAGACCAGCACAAAATGCAGTGCTTAGACCAGCTGTATCAGCATCACTTGGGAACTTGTTAGAAATGCACATTCTTGGGCCTCACCCGAGCTAGAACAAACCACGTGATTCTGGTGTATGGTGAAGTCTGCGAACCATGGGTGTAAACAGTTCTCGTGCAACAGCACCCACGAAATCAAGCCTGTTTCCTTCCCCTCCCAGTATTGCCACACCCACCGGAAACTTTAGCCTTAAGTGCTGTGGATTTGTCTTAAGGGAGATAGTCTAAGGCAGTGCTGTGCCTAGTTTGAACTGAAATGTGTTGTAAGTGTAAAATCCACATCAGATTTCAAAGACTTAGTTTTTTTTTTTAAGGAAAATATCTCAACTGTTTACACTGATTGCATGTTGAAATATTTCGGACATATTGGGAAAATAAAAAATTATTAAAATAAATTTGACCTCTTTTTGTAAAATGAAGCTACCAGAAAACTTGAAATTACATATGTGGATCGCTTTGTATTTCTACTGGAAGGCGCCGCTCTAAGTCTTAAGCCGCGGAAAAGTCACAGGCGCTACTTCAAATCAGTATCAGGGAGCTTCAGAACCCCTTTGAATTCATTCAGATCCGGGCTGGGCACTACAAATTCCACGATGTATTCAGAAATTGTCACCAGAAGACCCCGTGAAAGAGCAAGGGCTTTGGTGTTCAGTCCCGGCTTCACCACTTTCTAGCTGTCGATTCTCTTCACCTCTCACCTCTGTTTTCCTCATCTATAAAATGAGGCTGATGATAATACTACGTGCCAGGGACCATTAGGCAGGCGAGTGCTTTGCTCAACAGCCTAAGGGCAGGGCTCTAGGTCTCTCCTCTGACTCTAAAAATGTTGCGAGGAGTGGGGGTCAAAGGCCAAAGCGTCCCTTCGTTTAAAGGGGGAAACTCACAGGTAAGTAATATCCAGTTCAGGAAGGACACTGACCCCGCCCTCGCTGTGCCTTAGAACAGGCGAGTACCTGTCTCAACCTGGGTTTCCTGTCCAGTCCAAAGTTGTGGTGAGGCTTAGAGATCCCAAGTTGGAATTCCTTACAGCCACTCTCACACCCAGCCCACGCCCTGGAGAACCCGCAGAGGGACAGCGACCTGGAGGAGGAAGGTCTGACCTCATCAGCCCTTCGGAAACTGATCTCCGGCCCTGTCCTGAGGCACGTTGGGAAGTGAAGTCTTTTGCGGTATAAATAAATCACTTCCGGGTCAAACTATGAGAATGGGCGTGGCTACGGCTCCTAACACCCCGCAGTAGGCGCTGGATTTTCTGGCTACCCGAAACTCGCGATTTTTTGACTTCCGGTTGTTGACTGGCACCGCTAGTTTTTTTGCTTCAGGTGCACCGTTACGCATGCGCTGCACTCTCGCCCGCCCATCTGCCTGCTAGTTTACTAGAAACTACAACTCCCAGAAGGCCATGCGAGTGGGCGGGACCTCCCCGCCCCAAGGGGAGGGGCGCGGCGCTCCTAGCAGACGCTGAGCTTCTAACGCGTCTTTATTTAACGTAAAACTGGTGTGTCCGCCACACGCAGGGCCTTGCGGCCGTGCTGGACGCAGAAACGACGGGTTAGTTCGCCTTTACCCCTTGGGAGGAGAGGCCGGGCGGCACTAGGAGAACGAGTGAGACCCTACCCTGCCCCATCTCCTGGAGTTCGGAACTGTCAAGCCCCAGCTCCCACCCTGTTCCCCAGTTCAAGATCCCTGCGCGGCCCACGCCGAGGCCCCGGCCGCGCTCGGAGGCCGGGCAGTGCCTGCCTGGCCAGTGAGGATCTGCACTAGTAGGTCGGTGGCCAGCATGTGCGACGGCTCCTCGAAGCCGATGGTCAGCAGTTGCTGGTAGTCGCCAGGCGGCTGCGGGCACAAAATCCTGGGAGCCAGGGACAGACAGGCCCAGACGTGAGCGCCCCCTGCCTCTCGGGAGCCCCTCCCCTCAAGCCAGAGGCTGATGCTAAAAGAGGCCTTGTTTCAGCTTAGCTTGGGAAAACCTTGGGGGAAGGTTGTTTCCTTGTTGATAAGAAACCTAGAGGGGCCTGGCTCCGGGAAGCTGCCCTGACCTGGCCAGTTACTCAGCTAGCTGTGTGTCCTTGGGCAGGTAACTTAACCTCTCTGAGCACCCGTTTCCTTCTCTGTAAAATGGGTCTAGTAGTCTGGACCTCAATGGTTTGTTATGTGACTCTGCATAAAACACTTAACGGCACAACAAAATGCTATCATTATTATCAAGGGAAGCCAATGAAAGTGTTGGGTGAGGTAGATGATCTTTGAGGGGGTTTCGCCCCTCCCCCCAGAACCCAAGCCTATTTTGCCATTGCCCTCACTCCTACCATGAATAAAGGTCATCGTCGACTGGTCCTAGGGGCACCCATCGGCCAATGGACCACAGCTTCTGGATCTGTGCGCAGGAATTGGCTGGATTCTTGCCTGTGTCTTCCCATGTGTCTCGATAGCACAGGAAGTAGCTGAGAGGGGAGGCGGTAGCAATTAAAAGTGATCAGTTTCCTACCTTTTTCTGTTGAGGACTTTGGTTTTGGAGGTGAGGTGGAAACTTATCAGAAGTTGCCCTGAAGTTCTAAGGTAGGGAAATGACTCAACATGGAAGGCTTTTTTCCCTACCAGCCTGCTTTTAAGATGAGAACTCTTATTTTGATGGGCAGATGGGTTAACTTAAAAAAAAAAAAAAAGGTGGGGATGGCCTTTCAAAAGCCCTGAGTTTCCTGGTTGGCCTTTCACAATTGGTGGTAGTGGTTTAGAGGACCATATCTGCATTCTGCATAGGGAGGGGGCACTTTGATTTTGGCAGGGGGACTCACTAATCCACATGGGAATCTTGCCCCCGGCTGCTGGGCTCTGGGGTGGTCTCTAGGTTCCAGCGCATCTTCTTGTAGAGGTAGCGGGGGAAGCGGCTGGCGGTGTAGGCGGCTGGGGCACAGTATCTGAAGATGGACACCTCATGGGAAGAGCTGATGGAGAACCTCCCACAGAAGAAACAGGAGATGCTGGTGGGAGATGGGAGAGGTGGGGATGAGGCTAGGCTCTGGGCCCTGCTGCCTCCTCCCTCCTCCCTCCATCCTACCCTTTTACCTCAGGGGGTCAGTCTCCTCCAGGTCCACGAACCCAAAGGAGGCATACATGAGGACCAGCTGTTCTAGGCGCAGGGTCAGCTGTTGGGAGATCTCTAACAGCTGCATGGAAGAGGAGGCATAATGAGATCAGCTGCCTTGCCAGAAGCACCCCCCCCCCGCACCCTCCAGGCCTGAGACTGCGAGAGAAAAGGGGTGTGGGGCCCAGAAAACCTGCTCCACACACCCCTTTTCGAACCAGCTCCTGCAGGGCTCCATAGATGGGGGGTACACTCCGTGCAGCTGCCTCCAGGTACAGGAAGTAGGGCTCACACATCTTTAAGAAGGTGGGCATGGCCTTTGCCAGCTGTTCCTTCTGCACTCGGTCCCTGCTGGAGAGAGAAGGGGACCTTTGCCTGTGGTCCCTCACACCCCTAATTTCTCCTATGCGACCCACCACTTATATTTCTGACCTGGACCCCGGTCATGAAATCCTCCGATGCCAGGCCTTCTTCCAGCAGCACTTGCCTGAAAACCCACACCTGACTTTGATGCAACATGCTCTCCTTGGGGATTTATAGTGAAATTTGAGAACCACAGCCGTAATAATTACCTTTTCCCTGGTCACGTAATCACATTATCCTTTGGAGTCTCAAACTGGTTGCCCGTGGGCCAAATCTTCCTCAGATGGGTTTTGATTAGTCCACACAGAGTTAAAAATCTGAGCTGACATTTACAAACTAGGAGACAAAGTCATGGAGATTTGGCAACACGGGGCCCATGCTGCCTCAGGATAGAAATTCGAGGTTGCCTCCCCCCCACCCCCAATTCTACGCAGTCCTCCTCTCTCACCCAAAGTGGCTTCGTAATCTGCCAGCTTCATTTACTGCCTCTACCTGGCTCTTATGCTTTTGAGTATGCGACCCTGGTGTGTGTGGCTAACGCATTTACCCTCTCTACCGAGTAGTCTCGTCACCCACCACCTGGGGTCCCGTCCAGCATCACCTGTAGAGCAGGTAGCTCTGGAAATCATCTGCCTTCTTCAGCAGGTAGTGGAGCTGTTCGGTGATGGGGCTGAACATGGTGTCTAGGGGTAGGCTAGGAGGGGTCGGCCCGGGTCCCGGAGTCAGAGGCTCTGGGGATGGCGTGGAGGCAGGGGCCTCAGGTAGCGGCCCCTGAGCGTCCTTGGGCTCCAGATCAGCGGGGTCTGCAGGCCTGTCACGGGGCGTAGACCACGAGGGGTCTCCACAGTGCGGCGCCCCGGGTTCCAGGTCCCCCGGGGGTGGTGTTTCCCCAGGACCCTGAGGTAGCGGTCCCACGAACCACTGCTCTGTGGCCATCGCGCCGTGGGCGGGAGCTCTTTAAGGCGCCGCCGCGCACGTTGGCCGCGAGTTCGACCCCGCCCCGGGAGCTCCGGGAGTCTCGGAGCCTCAGACTTGCCGAGTTTTGGAGCGCGGCCCCCTCCAACTCGCTCCAGCCTCGACCTCTCAGCCGGTGCCGCGCCGCGTCTAGGGAGTTCGCCTCATTTGAATTTCAACACGCGGGAGGGGCGCGCAGCTCCTGGCCGCGCTGCGCGCCCGCGGGGCCCCGCGCACACGCGCGCTCCCCTGCACCAGCGGGGGACCTGGGCCAGGGCTGGCGCGGCCATGTCCTGGAGGTGTGGCCTGGGACTTTATCTCTTGGGGGCGGTTTCCTAGGGAAGAGGGATCTCTAACGTGCGTCCAAACCCCCGACGCAGGTGTAGAGGATGCCCAGACCTCACCTCCAGACACTGACTCTCCAGACCCTGGAACTGGTATTTTTTAAACGCCAGTGGAGTTGAGAAACTGCCTTAAAATTTAGTAGGGACTTGTAAAGTATCAGCTGTTACTACTACCAACAACAATAGTAAAAACCTTGACTTGGCCCAAACTCTTGTTCCTTTTATGCAGCAGATATAAGGCCTAGAGACCCTACCGTTGTCCCAGAACAGATCCCTGCCCCCAGTACTTGTACACTGGATTCTCTGTAGTGTGCAAAGGCCGATAGGCATATAGCTATGAAGTCAAATGCATTAATTACACCTGAAGCCTCTGGATAAAGAACTCACGTCCCCTGGGTGGTGCAGTTCGCTGTCAGCTACTAACCAAAAGGTTGATGATTGGAATCCAGCCAATGTTGCCACAGAAGAAAAGCCTGGCAATCTACTTCTGTAGGATTACAGCCACTGAAAACCCCACGAAGTGCAGTTCTATTGACACACATGGGGTCACCGAGTCAGAATCAGGTCAATGACAGTGGGTTTGGTTTTTTTGTTTGGGTGAAGAATGCAGGGAGCCCCAGTGGCACAGTGGTTAACCAAAAGGTGGACAGTTCAAATCCACCAGCCACTCCTTGGAAACCCTATGGGGCAGTTCTACTCTGTCCTATAAAGTCACTATGAGTCAGAATCAACTCCACAGCAATGGGTTTGGTTTTTGAAGAATGCAGACAGGTGTCACCCGCTGCCCCGTGTCCTTGAGCAAGCATCTTAAACTGAGCTAGCCTCATCTGTATAGGGGGTTTGATGAGATCCCTCCTCATGGGGATTGCTGAGAATGACTGAGAAAAGGCTCGTAGTCAACTGCTCGTCACTCAACAAGCATTTGAGTACGTACTGTATGTAAGGCACTCTCCAGATGGTGGGTAGGGGAAGATGTCAGAGAACAAAGCCAATACCCCTGCCCTCCTGAAGGGGTTACTCTTCTATCCTACTCACTATCCTGCTGCCCTCCCCAAACATTTCTGTCCTTATCCTAGGCTCTACTGGGAGGCTGCTGGGCTCTTCAATTGCCCCCTCTCCCAACCCATTCACGAAACAGACTCCTAGCATTTTGTTCTTTTCCTTTTTTTAAAATTTTATTTAAAAAACCTTCGGTGCAATATTAAAAAGCAATACAGCCAGCTGGAGCGACAACTGACAGAAAGAGGAGTGGGGAAGACCAAGGGACCCCACCCGAGCTGCTCACGGGGCCTAGAGGCCAGGGGCAGACTGGGAGGGGACATGGTTGGTGGGGAAGGGAGGAAAGGCTACCCACCCACCAAAATGAACAGGCAGAAGAAAACATTTATATAGGAAACATCTGGCTGAACTGAGTAGGATCTTGGAGAATCGGGAAGCCCCCTTTTTTTTCATAAATGTCCTGAGGTGTGGGGACTGGCCTCCTGAGATGAAATGGGCAGGCCCTGTCCCACCCCACACCCCAATATGGAGTCCAAGGTGTGCTGGAGGCAGATGTGAGGGCTGGGTGGGGGGTACACAGAGAGATGAGTAGGGAAGGTGCCCCCTCACTGGAATCTGTCATGAGGGCTGAGGGTGTCCCCATCCAGAAGCTCCTGGACTCTGGGGGGCTTGGGGTGAAATGGGGGCTGGAATGGGTAGGGGCAGGGGTGAGGCTGGGCACTCAGCCTAGAAAGCCATCGGGGTCGTCATCCTCAAAGTGGCCTTGCTGCAGCACCTTGATGTGGTGCTCATAGATTTTCAGGGCTGGGCCGAGACGAATGGACAGGCCGGTCAGCACATCTGTGCGCTGCATGAGCAGCAAAGACTTGCCGTCGATTTCCTGGGTGGAAAACAGACAGAACTAAGTCAGAGCCGGCGCCTGCTGAGGTCCTTGGGGAGTCTGGGCATCCAGGCCAGGAGCTCACTTGCTCTTGGAAAGCTGTGGCTTGCTCAGGGAAGCCAGCTTCGGTGAAATACTCCACCACATCCATCACAGTCCACTCCACGGGGTCTGCGGGTTTCTCCTTGCGCCCGGAACTGCATCGAAACAGAGAGAACCAGTAAGCAGCAATGCCCCCTCCGGTTCTGCTTCACACCCCTGAACAGCACCCCCATGTCTCAAATGCTCCCTCCAACTTACGGACAGCCAAAGGGGGTCCCATCAGCCCCAGGTAGGGCTGGTTTTCCTGGGGGCAAAGGCACGGGGGACGGGGAGTCTGGCCCAGTGGTAGCAGAGGCTGGGGAAGCAAAAGCACCATCTGTAGCTTTGTTCTGGGGCTATATTTTTCTCACCTGGCACTACCCCCACCCAAAGGCATTCTTACCTGATCCCCCTTCCTTATTCATGGCTGCCATGGAGAAGGCCTGGCGGGTGCTGCTCCCCAGCGTTGGCCCCCGCCCTTCATCTTGGCCCTGGTGGGGTCCACAGGGTGTCCACTCCTTGACCCTCTCCTTGACACTCTGAGGGCCCCGTTCGCCATTAAGCTGGTGGTGCTGGGCACCTGCAGGACGGTCACCCTCGGGCACCTCGGAACCTTCTGACACATCATCCTCATCCTCATCCTCATCATCTTCATCATCTTCCTCCTCTTCTTTCTCAAGCACTCGCTCTTCTCCACCTCTCTGGGGCCAGGCACACAAGGTTAATAGCTGTTCTAATGCTGCGCCCAGACCCTGGGCCCCAGGACCAAGTCGAGCGCTCAACGCTACCTTTGATAACAACATGGACTAACTTTTATGCATTCACTTCGTGCCAAGCCCTGTGTTAATAAAGCCCTCAGTAGCCAAATTTCACCAAACTCGCTCAACAGTCGCTACTGTTACTAAGCCACGTTTACATCGCAGTAAACTGAGGCTCGAGAACATAAAGTCACTTGCCAAGGTCACCACGCACCGAGCCCACAGGGAAGGAACACGAAGCCCTAGCCACCTCATCCCTCCCGGGACTCGCGCCCCCGCCACCAACTTCGCCCGCACCTGCCCACCGCGTCGCGCGGCGCCCCCCCTCCCCGGCGCGCTC